ATTTTATATCATGATTTTTAGTTTTTAAGATTGATAATTTAATTATAAATTGGAGGTTCATAATTAAGGTATTTGATTTATTTTTGTGTCACACATATATATATGTATATAGATATATATGTAATCTGATGGTGATAGGTGGCTGGCGAAATTTTGAGAGAAAGAAAAGGAAGCAAGGTAATGTTATATTGGCGGGGTCCACTGAAAAGTGATTTAATTGGATTTGATTTTTGTTTTGTATGTGTTGATGGAAGGATGATGCACCAACCGTGGAGATGAAGGAAGTGGTAATGTGAACTGTGGGACCCATGAAAAGATAAGAAATGGAGTTGGATTTTATTTTTTGTTTCATATATATATATATATATATATATATATATATATCTTGTCTGAAGAAGAAAGTGAGCTGAATTGGAAGTGATAAGAAGAGAATGAGAAGAAAAGTAATGATGGACGAGACCCATCGGTGATTTGTTTGGCCGAAATCTTTTTGGTTTTGGCTTTTCGCGTGGGTTTGGTCTTTGATTCATTGGAATGAGATATTGTAATTGTTAAGTGTGAAGTAATGATGATGATGTGGGGACCACTTGGATTTTTGGTCAAATTTTCTTCTTCTTTTGAATTGTTCACGTGGGTGGTCTGTTTGGTTTTGTCTGATGGAAGCGTGAGGGGTGAGCAGTTGTATTATGTCGGTGGAGGTCATTATAAATTGAAAGAGTTGTGCACTGAGTGAATATAAAGGCAGAGAAGCAAATAAGAAAATTAGAGAGTTGCAGATAAAGTGAACCGAGAGAAAAACAGAGAGTTTGAGCACACAGTGAGTGAGTCGAGTGTTGCAGAGGGCGCAGCGGAAGCTTGAAGGTTGATCTTTTTATAGTGTAGGGTTCTCTAAACCTTGAATGGCTTGGAGTGGTTTTTGCTTCAAATGATTTATTAACTGTTTTTATTAAATTCATATGTATTTTGTTTATCTACTCACCTGTGTATGTTATTTTGTGAAGCTATTTTATTAAACGTCCATGAGATTCTTGTTATGGTTTTTCCTACTGGGACTTTTGTCTCACCACCCTCCAATATGAGGTACCGAGGACGAACGGGGATTGCTAGATTCGGGTTTAGGGTAAAGAGTCGGCGTTGCAGGATTTTATTTATTTATTTAGAGAATTTTTTTGTATATTGAGGTTATTGACTTTGTATAAAAGAGGGGGCAATTTTTATGATCTTGGGTGTATTTTGATGTATTTGAATAAATGGAGGATTTTATTGGAACTTTCGGGGCGTGACAAAATGGTATCAGAGCTTGTACCCAGCCGGAAGTGTGAGTGTAGTGATGATGTAGATGGGTATGAGTGGGCGAGTGTGTAGCACTGGTGAGCTACCACTCGTAGCCGGGTGTGTGTGGGCGGATGGCGGTCACTGGCAGCCACTGGGATGGTTGGTTAGTGTGGTTGGATAGGTAGCCCAGATTTGTTATTATTATTTTTTTTTAGTAGGCGGGTGACGCATCGACTAGCTACCACAACGATTACAGAGTGTGTGGGCGGATGACTAGCACTGTCAGCTACCACAACGTCTTACATATCATTGTATCTCACATCGCATGGGGTAAGGATTTATGGATTTGGTTTTGTGGTTATTGGTGTTTTCGGGTACACGGACTGTTGGATCTGAATTTCGGGGACGAAATTCTTTTTAAGTGGTGGAGATTGTGATGACCCAAATTCTTTTTTTTAAGATTTTAAATTTTATATCATAATTTTTAGTTTTTAAGGTTGATAATTTAATAGTAAATTGGAGGTTCATAATTAAGGAATTTGATTTATTTTTGTGTCACACACACACACACACATATATATATATATATATATATATAGAATATGATGGTGATAGGTGGCTGGTGAAATTTTAAGAGAAAGAAAAAGAAGCGAGGTAATGTTATATTGGCAGGGTCCACTGAAAAGTGATTTAATTGGATTTGATTTTTGTTTTGTATGTGTTGATGGAAGGATGATGCACTAGCCGTGGGATGAAGGAAGTGGTAATGTGAATTGTGGGACCCACGAAGAGATAAGAAATGGAGTTGGATTTTGTTTTTTGTTTCATTTATATATATATATATATATATATATATATATATATATATATATATATATATATATATATATATGTCTATCTTGTCTGAAGAAGAAAGTGAGCTGAATTGGAGGTGATAAGAAAAGAATGAGATAGGAAAAGTAATGATGGGCGGGTCCCATCGGTGATTTGGTTGGCCTAAATCTTTTTGGTTTTGGCTTTTCACGTGGGTTTGGTCTTTGATTCATTGGAATGAGATATTGTAATTGTTTAGTGTGAAGTAATGATGATGATGTAGGGACCACTTGGATTTTTAGTCAAATTTTCTTCTTCCTTTGAATTGTTCACGTGGGTGGTCTGTTTGGTTTTGTCTGATGGAGGCGTGAGGGGTGAGCAGTTGTATTGTGTCGGTGGAGGCCATTATAAATTGAAAGAGTTGTGCACTGAGTGAATATAAAGACAGAGAAACAAATAAGAAAATTAGAGAGTTGCAGATAGAGTGAGCCGAGAGAAAAACAGAGAGTTTGAGCATACAGTGAGTGAGTCGAGTGTTGCAGAGGACGCAGCGGAAGCTTGAAGGTTGATCTTTTTATAGTGTAGGGTTCTCTATACCTTAAATGGCTTGGAGTGGTTTTTGCTTCAAATGATTTATTAACTGTTTTTATTAAATTCATATGTATTTTTTTTATCTACTTATCTGTGTATGTTATTTTGTGAAGCTGTTTTATTAAACCTCTATGAGATTCTTGTTATGATTTTTCCTACTGGGACTTTTGTCTCACCGCCCTCCAGTTTCAGGTACTGAGGACGAACTGGGATTGCTAGATTCGGGCTAAAGGTGAAGAGTCGGCGTTGCAGGATTTTATTTATTTATTTGGAGAATTTTTTTGTATATTGAGGTTATTGACTTTGTATAAAAGAGGGGGCAATTTTTATGATCCTGGGTGTATTTTGATGTATTTGTATTTGAATAAATGGAGGATTTTATTGGAATTTTTGGGGCGTGACAGTTGGAGTTGAGTTTGTTAGTATCAGTGACATTTGGTGTCTTATATCATTAATGATATAATGACGCCCTTGATCCCATATTAGTAAACTCAAAGGTACTCCAAATTGATGGTAGAGGTGTTTCTTATAAATATATGGATTAACTTCTGTAGTACACTCAATGATCATTTTGATATAGAAGTAATTGTAATTAATTATTGTTAGACAAAGTGGGAGAATGTAAGCAAATTAGTAGTCTATTAATAATTAATTAAATATATTGTTTATATATGCATATAAGAAAGGTTGCACCCTTAGAATAAATAGTCACATATAAAGAGTTGTGTCGGTTGATAGAACCAACACATCTCTTCACGTATGAATTGAAATGGTCCCAACCCTCATTATATATATGCGTAATAGTCATGTAGTCCATCATCCAGTTTTTGCATATATAAGAGAGGGTTGAAGATCGTTTCATTCATACGTGAAGAGATGTGTTGGTTCTATCAACCGACACAACTCTTTATATGTGACTATTTATTCTAAGGGTGCAACCTTTCTTATATGCATATGTAAACAATATATTTAATTAATTATTAATAGACTACTAATTTGCTTACACAGAGAACTAGGCTTCTATTAGCTGTCAGGTTTCCATAGAGAATGGCTTTGAAGAGGCTGGGTTGGAGAAAGGCTGGGTTGATGCAACGAGTGATCTATTTGCCGGTAACGTTCTGTTCATGCAAATCATCACACCTGCCACCTGCTTACTCTTCAATAGTTGTCCGATCACTTGATGTTAAGAATGATCATTTTCAGTTCTTGATCTTGAAATGCTATATTGTAGTGCAATTAGTACTCTTATGCATCTTGCATTTCGGTCAACTTACTCCTAAGATGCAGAATGATACAATTTTGCACCAACTAGTAGACACTAATGGGTCAAACACATATTCCGTTATCTTTGTGGACAGTGATAGAGCTAGAGCCAGAAATTAATTTCAAGGACACATTTTTATTTTATTTTATTTTATTTTTTTCTTTTCAAATCAAAAGTGTTAGATATTAAATTAGTAGATGTAAAGAGTCGAAACTTGACATTTCGATGTTAAATTAGTAAATGTAGAGAGTAGAAACCTGACAATCCGAAGTCCATAAATTAAATTTCTTTTTTAACTAACATGACAAGTAATCGTGAAACAAATTGAAAATTAGAAGTACATTAATAATACAATATTCAAGATTTAAATAGTGTGTTACTTGTTTGTAAAAAAAATAAAATCAAGTAAAAAATATTTATAAATATAATATATGGACATTAAGTTAATAAAGTTGTTTGTATTTTATGGTATATCCTCTATTTTCGTAAGTTGAAGGTCCAGGTTCAAGTTATGAGCAAAATTGAGTGCTAAAAAGGTTACTACACATTAACATTCTTCATACATTAATGCAAGAAAAAGAAATTTTAAGAAAATAAAAATAAAACAAAAGAAAAAGAAAAAGAAAAAGAATGAAAAATGATAGAACTTTGAAAATGAAAAAAAAAAAAAAAAAACAAAAAACAAAGGATTTGGTTGGAAAAAGAGGAATTCAACATTTTTCTGAAAGAAAAAAAAAAATGAAGAAGAATAAGAGAAAAAGAAAAGGAGGCTCAAAGAGCAAACAAATATTTTTATAAAAGAGGAATTTTTAGGGGGGTCAATTTGTAATATTTTACTAAGTTACATAACTAAAAGCAAATAAATAAATAAAAAGTTTAAGGCCAACACAGACTGTATCCTATTGCCGTTCCACGTGTACAATAATACTACGTACAACGTAGGTCCTTACGTTAGCAGGATTCCACGTGTTTGCCCACGACAGAATCTTCTCCTAGTAGAAAGATATCCACTAAACTCTCTCTAAATACAGTACTCAACAGCAACACTTGCTTTTGTGCCACTATATATATCTCTCTCTAAATACAGTACTCAACAGCAACATTTGCTATTGTGCCACTATATATCTCTCTCTAGAGAGAGTGACAGAGAAACAGAGAGAGAGCTTAGAAATGGCACTACTGAGGAGGATGAAATTGGGTTCGCAAGGTCTGGAAGTATCGGCACAGGGTCTGGGCTGCATGGGCATGTCCGACAACTACGGAACACCCAAACCCGAACCCGACATGATTGCCCTAATTCACTACGCCATCAACAATGGCGTCACCTTCCTCGACACCTCAGATGCCTATGATGACAACGAACTCCTTATCGGCAAGGTACCTAGTGGAATTTCACTTCTAGGTTTTCATTTTTATGAATTAATTGAAGCTTTGATTGGTGAATTGACTGTTTTTATTTGCAGGCTCTGAAGGGAGGGATGAGAGAGAAAGTAGAATTGGTTTCAAAATTTGGGATTCTCCATGCGGATGGAAAGAGGGAAATATGCGGCGATCCCGCATATGTCCGTGCCTCCTGTGAGTCCAGCTTGAAGCGGCTCCAGACGGATTATATAGATCTCTACTACATGCATCACATCGATACTCGGGTGCCAATCGAAGTCACGGTATGTCAATTATAGTAGATGTATATGACATGAGTGTGTGATCGTTGTTATTGGTGTAACTTTAATATTTAAATCTTCTAAAACACTCATAACATATGGCTTTTTTTTGCTTCGTTTTTGTCTAAAACGTGTTTCAATTTTAATCATCGGGTAGCAGTCAAGTTTGAACTTAAGATCTTGGCTACTTTGATACCATGTTAACCACCATCTATTAAGATTGTAACATTAATATTTAAACCCTCTAACAATCACGTTTCTTTGGTCCTTTAGATTGAGAATTTATGTACATTTCCGATTTTTAGGGGTTCATATAAGACAATTTTTTGATTATTGTGGGTATCTATTTGGATGCAAGACAATATATATGTATTAGTGTGTGTATATATATCTCCATGTTTTGTTCTTTTTTATTGTGAATTCATATACATTCGAAATTCTAGGGGTTGTGTGATGTCACACATCCTCTGAGAAAGGGTGAAGACGATGGGTCCCAAGAGGGGTGATTATGACATCCCATATTGCATGAGGTTCGAAGTTGTTGACACTCATAAGGGGATGTTTCCTATATGTGTAGATACATTTTAAAAATTGTGAGCACAGAAAGTGCGTAAAGTGTGTAATATCTGCATAGTGTGGGGCAGATCTTGACAAGTTGATATGAATACGATGGTTGGATTGTTGTTAGTATTTGTTTTTGTGAAAGCCGATTAAATATTGTTGTAGGGATACATGTACATCAATATATTGAATTTATGATATATATATCTGTGTGATAATGATTTTTATGTGTTAATTACAAATTTATTTACGTTTCCAATTTAGTTGTTGATATAAAAATGATTGTTTGATTATTGTTAGTATTTATTTGTTTAAATGAAAGCAAATAAATTTTGTGTTAGAATACTTTTGTTATTTTTCCTCTTCGCGGTTTCAGTGAGGGAAAAAATAATGCAAAGAAAATTATGATGGGAAACAGATAAAAAGAAAGTAAAATGAAATAGGTGGTGAGATTATTTTTGAGGACATTTTTCATTTTTTATCTCATTTAAACAAGAAAGTAACAATGAGCAAAATTGTTTTATTCTTTATTTATTTATTTATTTATTTTCTTTCCTTTTCCTTTTTTCTTAGTAAATGTGCGAACAAAACAAACCCTATCAAAAAAATAAAAAATAAAAAAATGCAATGCTTCTAATCTGAATTTTGTGTATTCAGACAATTTAAGATGGAAACAACAACTACAATTATGCACAATTGCAAAGGCAAAAATTTTCATCAGTGGTGATGGGCCGGTGGTGGCGACCTTAAATAATAGTAAGCTAAATTCTTTTTGAACCAAATAATGAATACAAAAATGTAAAGGTCAATTGTCCTCAACCAACTCTTATGTTTCGAAATCTCTATATGATAACCTCTTTATCAATTTTATACGATAAATCTTTTCTAATATGTATAATCAAATATAAAATTGTTATGGTACTTTTTATTATGGTAAAAAAGAACTAAAAGAAAAAGCCTCAAATAAGAAATACAAGCCATTAGACAAACCTACCCACTAAGGTGATGCGTCATAAAAATGAATATGAAGTACTTAAAACTTTGAGAGATGAATTTTAAACATTGAAATTTTATATGCTAAATGTAAATTTAGAGGTTTTTTTTTTTTATGTGTGTTTATGTGTTTAGCTATGTTATTTGGACTCGGGTATGAGTGTCTGACACGAGTGCGTGTTTAAAAATCGGATCCTTTCATCTTTGAAATTATTGGATACAGGATCTCGACTAAAAATGGTCCAAAAGTTGGCCACGGTTATAATTATTATATAGGGTTACAAAGCATAGGCCATTTATGTATTATTTGAGGGTTGGATGATATTTTGATATAAAAACAAGACAATCTGATATCATTTATTATTTATTTGAAAAGCAAGTAGTTGGAGTAAAAAGTAAAGGTATAAGCTAAAAAGTTAAGGTAAAAGTTACTTAACCGAGTCAAATGTTAATGTAAGTTGTCAAAGTTGCTGAGTAAAACAATCACAAAGTAATAAGTTTATATTTTACAAGAAGACAACTGTCAGCCACAAAAAAAAAAAAAAAAAAAAAAAAGTTAAAGACAGCGGGAAGCAACAATCTATTAAATGCACTTTTAGATCTGAAATGTTGCGTAAAAAACCACACTCGGTCAGAAGAACAAGACGCTGCGCGCGAAGAACCCATCATCATCAACCTTAAAAAACCCTAAGGTCGAACCAGCAACCTTCATAAACATACCAGAAGGCATTTGATCTAATAAAGAGACGTGAAAAAAAAGTTCAGATCCTTCACGAGCATCCACCAATACAATCTTTCGTGAGCATGTCTTCAGCAATCGTTCGCCAGCCGTGTCCAATGGTGCAAAAAGGGTGTCCCACCCATATCCAGTGTCAGTGGGCTGGTTAGTTGAGTCCAAGTAACATAGGTGTTGAGTACTTAAAAATAATTGAAGTCTCATAAACTTAAAATTTGGAGTGGATTTATTTACTTATTTTTAAGTAGTACTAAATTACAGTATCAAGTTCATTTAATGAAATATATTTAATTTATTCATAATTAAGTGATGAATTGGGTTATCAAATAACACCTAACTATCTAAGTTGCATCCTTTTCCTTTTCTTCTCTCTCCAATTTTTTCCCCTTAAAATCCTAAGAGTATTTTTACTATTCTCTGGGGCATCTTTACAATTACCAAAAATATACACATGCTAAATTAGGATAACAAAAAGTTGAGCAGCTGGCCCCACTCAACTCAATGTGGCTTTACTTTATATAGCAAGTGTGAGTTTGGGCAATGTGTATGCTTCCCTAACACCAAACTATAAAATAAGAAAATAAAAAATAAAAGAAGTTGAAAAAAAAGAGAGTTTGATTGAAGAGAATATGTTTGGCCCTCATGTTGTTGCTTTTATTTATTCTCAATTCCTCTGTTCAGTTAGCATATATTTTTTTTTTGGCTCTTTTCTATTAGGATAATAGACCTCTTTGAATTTGAATGTTTTTGAGAAATGTGGTATTCTGATGCATGATGGCATCAATGGCCTATATGGTTTCATCCAGTTGATGTCTCAGATCAGAATTTGTAGTTATCATTGTAAAGCAGAATATATTTTATTATGATCAATGTAAAGCAAAAAAAACATTTTAGTAGTGATCATTCAATCATACGAACAAATTAACACACTTCAGGCTATGAGCTGCAAATCTGTTCCCTCAAGGAAGCAACAAGGTTGCTTTGGTAGTTGTGTGCTTTCACTAGAGATTTTCCTTTCTAGAGTAGTGTGACTACGTTGTGCCTGCTTCTCTTTTCGATGTTATACATATGAGTGTTTGAATGTTTCATAATTGTTTCCTTTTTTGTATCCCTTGTTTAGAAGAAACTTTTTGTAAGCTATTTCTTGATCTAGTTTATGAACTACTTTTTCAAGATGGGAGAACTCAAGAAACTGGTTGAGGAGGGAAAGATAAAATACATAGGACTATCTGAGGCATCTGCTTCAACAATTAGAAGGGCACATGCTGTTCATCCAATAACAGCTGTACAGAATGAGTGGTCTTTGTGGGCAAGAGACTTGGAAACAGAAATTGTTCCTACTTGCAGGTGAGACATATTTCATGCTAATTGATCTTGTTAGGAGATTAATAAGTAATCCAAAGTTCTGATTTAATTATTTTTATTGTCATGCAGAGAACTTGGCATTGGGATTGTTCCATATAGTCCTTTAGGACGTGGATTCTTTGCATCTGGTGCCAAGTTGGTTGAGAACTTGTCAGAAAATGACTTCCGAAAGGTTTGCGCATATAAAAGTGGTAGTTCTGTTTTCGAGAATAAATTACATAGAACTGGAGTAATAGATTCTTTTAACATTGTTGTTTCTTTATATGTAGTCCACCTACTTTTGTATCTTTGTACGTGTGGAATTTTAAGTAATCAACCTTATGAAGAAGCCTGTCAAGCTTTGCTCTCCCCACTTTATGACCTTCGTATGGTTGTCAATATTCCTTAAATGATTAACTAGATCATTCAATAATAGTTGAATCATATTACTACGTAACACCTTTCAAGGTGAAATTGGTTTTTGTCTATAGATTTCTGAAGTCAGCCACATATAACTACGTAACACCTGAGCTTCTCTGTGAAACTTCCAATTCAAGATTATAAGAAATCCTTTTCATCCAATCTTATTTATGACAAGCACCCTTTTTTTATGGTTGAAATTCAATGTTATGTCCAACATAAGGCCAAGAATCATTATAGAGAGAATACATTTATCTTCCATTTCTTCTCTGCATTTGATGGCAAACGTCCAAAGTCTTTTATGTTAGAACTTAGTGACACATGGTAAACGTCTTTAGATGTATATTTAAATTGCTGCTGAAAAGCACCATTTTCCATTAGCCACATGGTCCATACCAATTTATTTTTGCAGTCCAAATTACAAGTGTTTGGTAATTAGTGCCTTGCACTCCTCTATTTTCATCTCCATTTCTCAAAATTTCAATATAACTGAATCACTAGGTATTGGTTTGCACTCTTTTTTTGGGAAGACAAAACAAGGTTTTGACTACACTTGCTGATTCGGTTTTGGGACTACAAGCAGATTCGTTAATTGTTATGTGTCGACCTATTAGTTCTTTGAAACAAAGAAAAGTTGTCTAAAACCAGAATGCACTGATAGAATACATGGGGACACTAAAACCATAGTGTAGGTGCAAAATTTCGCTCAACCAATAATGATTAAGAAAAATAAAACAACTCACTCAATCAATAGTAAAATAAACAAGAACAATATATCTCGAAACGTAGAATTGCTTCATCCCTTTATTGGAGGTCTAAGCCTCTATTTATATACAAAAGATTGTAAAATTATGGTAAGACTCGCGTTGCTTGCCCTCCAATTCTTTCTATATAAACATTCTTTACTAATAGAGTTCTTTCCATTATCTAATTTTCCATACATAGAACTTGCCTTGTACAGAACTTCCTATCTCAGAATTTTCCTTCTACGGTAAATCCTTCAACTGATAGGACTTGTGCATTCTTGAATAACTGGGCTGAACATATTTTGATCCGGCTGGGCTTGAGTAACAGACCGGATGTTAATTATTAACAAGTTGGGCTGATGACCTCTTGATTCGGCCTTGATGGAGGTTGGAGGACAAATAACAATGGTCTTGGGGTATAAATACCTTCAATTTGGGCTTGAGCATGATGGGCCTTATATGTCCTTGGAATGTAAATATGTGTAGTGATGACGTGTGCGCTTTTTATTGGAGGGAGTTTTTTTCCCTCCACACATAGTGATACTAGCTAAAACCATAGTAGCTCTATGATGCAATGTAGGATGACCTATGAAAGGGAAAGGCGTTACTTGTCGTTTGATAAGAAAAAAACTGAGCTTAATGTTGTATAACAACCTGAAATATGATATAGCATTTGTAATTGTGAATGTGTTTACGTGATTAGGTCTTGTCTTGGTTTCACAGTTACGATAGTTTTGACACTGAATTATGTATTCTTAACTTTTGTAGAGATTCCCTAGGTTCCGACCTGAAAATATCGAGCATAACTGTGGAGGGAAAAAAACTCCCTCTAATAAAAAGCGCACACGTCATCACTACACATATCTACATTCCAAGGACATATAAGGCCCATCATGCTCAAGCCCAAATTGAGGGTATTTATACCCTAAGACCATTGTTATTTGTCCTCCAACCTCCATCAAGGCTGAATCAAGAGGTCATCAGCCCAACTTGTTAATATTTAACATCCGGTCTGTTACTCAAGCCCAGCCGGATCAAAATATGTTCAGCCCAGTTATTCAAGAATGCACAAGTCCTACCAGTTGAAAGATTTACCGTAGAAGGAAAATTCTGAGATAGGAAGTTCTGTACAAGGCAAGTTCTATGTATAAAAAATTAGACAATGGAAAGAACTCTATTAGTAAAGAATGTTTATATAGAAAGAATTGGAGGGCAAGCAACGCGAGTCTTACCATAATTTTACAATCTTTTGTATATAAATAGAGGCTTAGACCTCCAATAAAGGGATGAAGCAATTCTACGCTTCGAGATATATTGTTCTTGTTTATTTTACTATTGATTGAGTGAGTTGTTTTATTTTTCTTAATCATTATTGGTTAAGCGAAATTTTGCACCTACAATAACAATTACGTGTTTGAGCGGGTTAGTGAAATGGCAACGAAGAAGGGATGCACTCCGTCACAGCTAGCATTGGCATGGGTCCATCACCAAGGGAATGACTTTTGTCCCATTCCTGGTACCACTAAGATTGAAAACCTCAACAAGAATATTGCAGCTTTGTCTATAAAACTAACACCAGAAGAATTGACCGAACTCGAATCTTTTGCTTCTGCTGATACCGTGAAGGGTGACAGACATGCTTTTTTTTAGTTAGGCAAGTACTCACACACGCTATCACATTTGTCTACTTTGGGACTTGAACTCCTCACCTCTCCTTGAGTTATATGAGCTGGGCTAATGTCCAAGTAGTAGTAATCTATGTACTTGTGCTTTGGAGTGTTTCAAAACTGTGGTTGGTTTCCATATTGTACCTCTTTCCTGTTTATCAAAATATTTACAGATGTATGGAGCGATTAGAGTTATCCCGCATGTTCTGCATGAACAATGGTTTTAAAATACACAAGCAAATGACATATATAGTATCAGATTTTAACCACAAAAACAGAGGATCAAGGTGTTCAAGGAGCAATGAGATCCTCTTGTTCTCTCTTAAAGAATCCATGTTACATTCAACCCATCTGATCAAGTTGATTGACAGAAAAGGAAGGTTGATACCAGTTTTGCCATTTTCGTTGGCAGGCTCGGCACTAATCAGTCACTTGTGGGCTACCACAATGTTGGCTTGTGCACATGCATATTCTGTGCACGCATAAATTGGTGATGTTGAAACTTCAATTCACTTGTTTGGAGGCAGATGGCAAAGTCTTTCTTGTCACTAAAGCTGGCTGTTAAACAATGGCCCTGATGACTCGTGAAGTAGGTGTAGTAAATGATTTGTAGTGTGACGGTTTTGGAGGGGTGCGGTAAATGATTTGTAGTGTGACGGTTGAACTACTTTGAATGGTTTACGGTGAGGCGAGTGGAGGCGTGGCTCTCACTATTGACATTTGGATGACATCAGTGGTGGGACCCACGCGGACCGAGTCCAAATTTATCACATAGTCTACCTTATGTTTTTTTGTGCATCTAATCAGGTATTGAAATGCCTACTATTAAACAGGCTCTCACTGGTGCACCTTATCAGGATATGCTCTTGAAGAAGGCTTAAAAAAAAAAAAAAAAAAAAAAAAAAAACAGGACACCAAGGCGCAAATTAAAGCACATGTGACTTGAAGAAGTATAAAATTCAAAAGACACTAATTAAGCATTTCATTTATATTTGGTGCAATGGTTACAAGGAGATGTTTATGCAATCAAACTGATATATAGAGAGAGCGAGAGCTCTTCAAGCAATTCTTCCAAGAGAATGTTTTGAAGACAGCCCATGAAGTTCATGAGGCGCAACAGATTTCTTGACACTTTTGAATGGAGCAGGTGAGATGACTTGCATGAACATAAAGTTACCAGAAAACAGATCATTGATTGCAAGAGCCTGGCCTTCCTTCAACCTCTTCAAAGTTTTTCTCCACGAAACCCTAACGGTTGATATAAGCCTACTTCTCCTTCTCAAGAACCTCCTCAAGCCCGGAATCTGAATCTTTGGCCGCTTCTTTCCGCCGGTTAACTTCCTAAACCTAAACCATCTCCTTATTCCTCCGGATGCCCTCTTTGCTTCTACTGCTTCTTCTTCAAACTCATCTTCATTTGTGAGCCTCTGGTAAGACAGCTTTGGTACTACAGCCATTCAAAGGATAACAGATATGAGCAGAAAGATAAGAATGGCTTTGTTGCATCTTCTGTTTTTCTAATGAAAAAGACAAAAGGTGTAGAAACTAGTTGAGTGTATTAAATGCAATTAAAGGAGCTGGAATTTGTAGGTAATGACGATTATTCTCAGAGAAGGGTGAGGTTTAATTATTCTTTCTTTTACACTAGGAGTGGGAGGCCGCGTGTCAAAAACTTCTTTCAGGCGACATGGAATGTCATAATTAATATACAGTAAACACGGTGCATGTGTTTAGTAGGAATTAGGATGCAAGGAGAAAAATATTGAAGTGTGCTTAATTCTCAATATTATGTATACCAATCAAAAAAATTCTTTAGAGGAACAGTCCGTAAAAATTATAATGTTATGTTTGCGAGTACTGAATCGACGTATTAAATTTGTACTAAATTTTCTCCAATTTAAATCCAAGGCACCCAATTCAATACCCCCAATTGTGGCGTAGGATAATTTTTTTGTCAAACGACCGTAATAACGAAAATTTACTAAATTATAATGGGGACATTACTATAATGGATAATAATCTAAAATTCTGAAGTTGAACAATTTTGACGAACAGAGTATTGGTTAACATCATTCTGATATTATTAAAATCCATGATGTTATAATGACATCAGTTACTACTTACATAAAATTAATATTCTTCCATAAAATTAATATTATGTATCCCTTATCATTATTACACTATAATTTTAGCAAAATCTCAAGTTTTTTATTTTTATTTTTATATAATAATAATAATAAAAATCAACGGGGGCAGATGTCTAAAAACATGGAACATGCACAGTTAGACTTGTCGGTGGTACAAAGCATTTACTTTGTACCAAGCAATGGCTCCAATGCTTCGCGTGCAAGACTGTGACACTTTAACCGAATACTGACCCAAAGTACTCACCCATCATTAATGAAAATGATTATTACCAACAACTATCTCCGAAAAATGAAAAAATTGTTCACATTGACGGTATCTGAGGTGAAGCTCACTCTTAGTTATTGTGGTGGATTCACAATTACGTGAGACATGTCAAGCGTGTCACGTGAGGAGGAATGCTATTTATAATTGTACAAGTGACTGTTTATTTCTAGTCGCATTTTTTTTTGGGAAAATTACATATACATGGAGTCAAAGTTCCATATTTACTTAGAGACTGAGTCAAAGTTTCATATTTCTCTAAAATAGATTGCTGAGGTGGCACATGATTTTTTACTGTTTAGAAAATTATGGTGCCTAAAATGCCCTTCCCTAACAAAAAAGTAGTACCTTCAGTGCAAAAAAGTAGTACCTTCAGTTCAAAAAAGTAGTACCTTCGGAGAAAAAGTAGTACCTTCGCGGGTGTTTAAAAAATATGGTACCTGAACGCCAAAAAGTAGTACATTCAGTTCAAAAAAGTAGTACCTTCGAAGAAAAAGTAGTACCTTCGTGGAAGGGTATTTTAGGCACCACAATTTTTAAACAGTAAAAAACCATG